GACGCGCTCTTCCCGGCCCAGGGCGGCGCCGCAGACTGTGAGAGCCTGCGCGAGTTCCGGGAGCGGTCCCTGCGCGCGCGGTGGACCGAGGCGGGCGCGCGGCTGCGCCAGGTACTCGCCGGCGCCGGGCCGTGGACGCCCATTTGTTTTCGTTTATGTCATGGATCATTTAAGAGCGGAGGGCAAGCGTTAAGAAGTTAGGTTTCTTCCGTAGACAGGTGCTGAGACCGGTCAAGTTTAACAGTCTGAGCTGGAGAAGGAGGGGTGCAGGGAAAGCTGCAGGTTTACAGGTGACCTTCGCCTCCAGGGTAATTCTACAGGACCTCTCATGAGGCCTAGGGAGAGGACATGTTAAGTTAAATCATTGTCTGTTCGCACTTAGGAGCCAGCATAGCCCCTTAAGCCTTTTCCTGGGAGACATTGGCAGAGCAGGCTGTTATGATGGGACATGCCAGACAATATTGAAAGCAAAACTGAAAATACCCGATATATGTAGAGAATAATAACACTGAATACATGTAATCAATTCCAGGTTCTGCCTGTGAGAGAAGACCAATAATGGAAACAATGTTTTAGAGGATGAAGGGGCTTCTAGGAGACAGGTTTTTTGTTTGCTTTAAATAATACTCGATCAAATGGAAAGCCAACAGGAAGTGAAATTTGTTCATCAAATTGGAATAGAATAGGTGTGTCCTTTAAGCTTGGAACAGGTAGTTTGAGACATTGAACAATTAAGTATTTGAGTGGTAAATTTATAGAGCTTAAGGGGAGGGGGCAAAACAAGTCCACAAAAGAGTTTAGGAGAACATATGGCTTATATGTCCACAGTTTACTAAGGGGAGCCAAAATTTGGGCCTTTATTCTGCACCCTGAGCAAATCTTCTTCCCTTTCTCATTCTAGGCCATTATTAATCTGCGTAATTTTTCTAATGTTACATCTGTCTATTCTTTTGAAGAAGGGGAGGTGTAAGAGAAGAATTTAGTCACATTTAAAAGTCTTAATTATATCTTCTTAAGCTAAATATAGAATGTGCTTTTTAAATTAAAACAGTTTTATAAAAGGAGTTAAAGTAGTTTCTAAAAGGACCTTTGTTAGTGGTGCCATTTTATTGTGGGTTTTATGAGTATCTACACTCCCACTTCTCGTGTTGATTTCACTGTACCGCCTATGAGGAAACCACAGGAGAATTTCAGGCCAGCCAACTTTATTTATTTATTTTTTTAGCTGTGATTTAGGTGAAAGTTTACAGCTCAAGTTACTTTCTCATACAAAAATTTATACACATATTATTATGTGACATTAGTTCCACTCCCTGTATTGTGACAGCACACTCCCCCATTCCACCCTGGGTTTCTTGTGTCCATTCAACCATTTCGTGTCCCTTCCTGCCTTCTTATCCTGCCTCTGGACAGGAGTCACCCGTTTGGTCTCGTGTATCTGCATGAAGCAAGAGGCAGTCTCTTTATGAGTATTATTTTATGTTTTATAGTCTAGTCTAATCTTTAAAGAGTTAGTTCGGGAATGGTTTTACTTCTGAGTTAACAGAGCGTCTGGGTGCCATGCCTTCGGGGTTCTTCCAGTCTCAGTCAGACCATTAAGTCTGGTCTTCTTACTAGAATTTGAGTTCTGCTCTGCACTTTTCTCCGTCTCCATCAGGGACTCTGTTTTGTTCCCTGTCAGGGCGGTCATTGATGGTAGCCGAGCACCATCTAGTTCTTCTGGTCTCGGGCTGATGGAGTCTCTGGTTTATGTGGCCCTTTTGTCTCTTGGGCTAATATTTACCTTGTGTCTTTGGTGTTCTTCATTCTCCTTTGCTCCAGGGGGGTTGGGACCAATTGATGCATCTTAGATGGCTGCTCGCCAGCTTTCAAGACCCCAAACACCACTCACCAATGTGGGATGCAGACATTTTCTTAATAAATTTTGTTATGCCAATTGACCTAGATGTCCCCCGAATCCATGGTCCCCAGGCCCCAGCCCCAGCTACTCTGTCCCTCAAGGTGTTTGGTTGTGTTCAGGAAACTTCTTAGCTTTTGCTTTGGTCCAGTTGTGCTGACTTCCTCTGTATAGTGTGTTGTTCTTCTCTTCACCTAAGATGATTCTTGTCTACTATCTAGTTAGTGAATTTCCTTCTCCCTCCCTCCCTACTCTCATAACCATCAAAGAATGATTTCGCCTGTGTTTAAACCTTTTCTTGAGTTCTTATAATTGTGGTCTCATACAATATTTGTCCTTTACAACTGACTAATTTCACTCATCATAATACCCTCCAGATTCATCCATGTTGTGAGATGTTTCAAGGATTCATCATTGTTCTTAATCACTGTGTAGTATTCCATCATGTGTATGTACCATACTTTGTTTATCCTTTCATCTGTTGATGGGCACCTAGGTTGTTTCCATCTTTTTGGTAATGTGAACAGTTTTGTAGTGAACATGGGTGTGCATATATCTATTCATGTGATGGTTCTTATTTCTCTAGGATATATTCCAAGGAGTGGGATTGCTGGATCGTATGGTACTTCTATTTCTAGTGTTTTAAGGAAGCACCAGATCATTTTCCAAAGTGGTTATACAATTTAACATTCCCTGTAGGAGTGCCTAAGTGTTCCAGTCTCTCCACAACCTAACATTTATTATGTTGTGTTTTTTGGATTAGTGACAGGCTTGTTGGGGTGAGATAGTATCTCATTGTAGTTTTGATGTGCATTTCTCTAATGGCTAATGATCGTGAGCATTTTCTCATGTATCTGTTAGCTGCCTCAGGCCAGTCAACTTTTGATCTTCAATTTATCATTTGGTATCAAACGAACTTTTCTTTTTCAGACATTGTTTCTCACAGAGAGAAATCGTTTCTCCTTAAACTATAACATATGTACATATGATATATGTAGTTGCTATGTTAAAAGTTATACTTTTCCCCAATTAAAGTTCATTCAGGAGTATTATAGCGCTAGCATAGTTCATGCAGGGAGCCCTGGTGGTGCAGTGGTTAAGTGCTTGGCTGCTAACCAAAAGGTCAGTGGTTCAAACCCACCAGCTGCTGCATGGGAGAAAGATGTGGCAGTCTGCTTCCGTAAAGATTTACAGCCTTGGAAACCCTATGGGGCAGTTCTGCTCTGTCCTGTAGGGTCACTATGAGTCGGAGTTGACTCAACAGTAGTGGGTTTTGGGTTGGGTACAGTTCATGCTGTTGAGCTGATCACAGTAGTATAGGGTACCTGTTTAACTGGAACTTAAAAATGGGAGGAGGAGGAGGGGTAGAAGGGCTTAAATACAAAACATTCCACATCCATGGAGGTGGATATAAACCATCTTAATACTCATCTCTATTTAGAATAGAAAAGCAATAAATTCTAGAATTAGACCAATCACTAGTATATAGAAAATGAAGTTGGATGTTTTAACTCTTGATATTTTTGGAGTAGTTTAAGAAATAAGGCTGAAAAATACCAGTTGCCTTAAGTTTACTTTTTTGTTCTTTTGTATTTTAATTTTGTTCAGGAAAACTTTTATTCCTCTCTTTTTTTTTTTTCCAAACTACCATTATCACCTGGATAAAACTGAAGCTGAAAGTAGATCACTTTACCTTTAAGTACGGAAAGGAAATAGAAAAATTTAAGAATGTATTGATTGAAAAAAATTCTATTTTATTACTTGATTTTATTTTTCTTCTGGGAAGTAAGATAATTTCTTAGTAAACGAATTCAGCTAGATTTTATAAACTGATCAGTTTATTTTCTGCCCTACACCTGAAGCAGCGCTCTGCATAGAGAGCAGAGCCACAGTTAGGCTCTGTAAATGAGTCCACTTCGCTGTGGGCTTGTGGGCAGTATTCATCTGGGGAGGTAAGAGCATCAACATGCCGAAGAAGTCGTGGGAGGCATCTCTATAATGTCCTTATGAGCTTTTTAAAAAGCAGTACAGGCTGGTAAAACCTCTAAGGTCAGAAAAGTCTAATGAAAAAAATCCATTATCTACCACCCAGAGATACCCGCGGTTAATATTTGATGACTCTTTCAGGCCCTTTTCTCTCAATACTTGGTACTTAGCTGAGATTAAATTTTGTACACTACTTTTTCCCCCTATTTCAGATTAAAAATTTCCGTTGTTACTAAACAGCCGTTAAAACCACAGAGCTGAATGACTACAGTAATAATATTCTACCATGGCTATACCATGATTTGTTAACCATTGTTTTATTCGGCATTTTGGTTGGAGGACAATAGTGTTTTCGTATTTAATCAGTACTTAAAATGGATGTAAGAAGGAGACTAAATGGGTAGCTTCTGTCTGGAGGTGAGATGAGAAGGTAGAGAGGGTCAGGAGCTGGTTGAATGGGGACGGGAAATTGCGTGGAAAGGAGGAGTGTGCTGTCAGTATAGGGAGAGCAATTAGGGTCACATAACAAATGTATGTATAAATTTTTGTATGAGAGACTAACTTGAATTGTAAACTTTCACTTAAACTACAACAGTAAAAAATTTAAAAAAAAAATTGATGTAAGGAGTCCCTGAGTGGCACAAATTGTTAATCACTAGACTATTGACTGAAAGAAAGGTTGGCAGTTCAAACCCACCCAGAGGCACCTTGGAAATAAGGCCTGGGGATCTCCTTCAGAAAGGTCACAGCCTTGAAAACCCTATGGAGTGTGGTTCTACTCTGCACACTTGGGGTTGCCATGAGTCAGAATTGACTGGACAGCAACTAATGACAATAACTACGACAACGACAACAAAATTGATGCATTTAAGTTTAGAACATTAAGGTGTCTTTAGTTTTGTTTGTTTGGTATGATCTTATAAATAATGTCCATACTCGTGCTTGATTTACTTTTTCCTTTCTAGGTTCTTCAAGGTCATGAAAAAGCCAACACAATGGTAGCATTAATGACAGTTTATCAAGAGGAAGATGAAGCATACCAGGAATTAGTTATTATGGCAACCATGTTCTACCAGTATTTACTGCAGCCATTTAGGGATATGCGGGAAGTTGCAACTTCACGTAAACTTGACATTTTGGTATGTTTTCTTTGTATTTTATCAGATTTACAGTTTTTCATATGTTTCTTTAGTCACATTTAAGATTCAGTCCTACGTTTGAACTTTGTTTGAGTTTACCCTTATGTTTAGTTGGTAATGTAGATATATCAAATTTATATTTAAAAATTGAGGGAGGCGTGGTCAACATGGCAGACTAGTTAGACGCTTCCTATATCCCTCTTACAACAAAGGCCTGGAGAAACAAGTGATTTGATTCTATGTGAACATCTGGCAGCCCTGAACAAGGCAAGGTTAAGAAATCCATCTGAGTCATCCCAGAGAGGAAGACCGTTTGGAAGAGGTGAGGAGCGCTAGAGCTGCGGCAGCAATACTGCAGAGACACAGCCACGCCGGGCCGCGGTGAAGCAGGCAAACAACTGTGCTGTGCGCACGCTCAAGTGGCAGTTTCCACATTGAGAGAGACCTGGCAGCAGAGATTCTGCTTGGATACTCCGAACCAGTGAAGAGCAGCTCCCAAAAGGCTAGGATAAGTACACGCGCGCATCCTTTCGCGGCGATTTAAAAAAAAGAAAAAAAGCCCATTTGGGAAAAACCTCTCTCCCTTTTGCCTCCTACCTCTGTGCTCTGCACCGGATTTGGGAAAAACCTCTCTCCCTTTTACCTCCTACCTCCGCGCTCTGCACCGGATTTGGGAAAAACCTCTCTCCCTTTTATCTCCTCCCTCCGCGCTCTGCACCGGATTTGGAAAAAACCTCTCTTCCTTTTACCTTCTCCCTCCCCGCTCTGCACCGGGAGCCCACTGGGCCGGAAGTAGATCCCAAAAGGTGCCCTGACCCATTCTCCTGGCCTTGGAGAGGGAACAAATAAGCTGCTGGCTCCCCTAGGCCAGGAACACAGGGTTGGCACAGCTCCTTTGCTGGCCATAGAAATCGGGGGTCTGCAGACTCTGAGTGCCATACACCCTTGTATAGACTTGTGGGGACCCATCTCAACAGCGTTAGCCCTCACTGCCACAGTACAACAGGGCAAACATCTGAAGTTTAACTTCAGCTGCTTCAGCTGTGAACAGGCAGATTTGTGATTCTCGAAATAGCGCTGCCCCTCAAGTAGGCACTTTTATCGATCTGCAGCAGCATCTTGAGGACTGGTGGTAGCTCCTAAAGTGACTAGTCACCTGCTACAGGAGTTCAAGAAAAAGCCCTCGAGTCTTTGCAGCCAACATAGTGGTGTGCTCTTAGCCCGGCTGCAAAACTCACCTACCTATTCACCCTAGAGAATAGGGACACGCTTTTCTTTCAGAATCTCAGGGGCAGCTGTCAGCCCCCTGCCTGGCTCAGCACGTGATCCCCTACCACAGCCAGAGTCCAGTGTCTGCACCAGTCACCCATGCCTCTCTAGGACTGGGGGTGAGAGCCTGCATCACACAGTTGGTGACCGACTGCCTGCACACCCAAGCTGATCCCATACAGGAAATTTTAACGGACTCCAGCATGCACATACTTAGTTACAGAACTAACTACCTGGTGACAGGACATTAGAGATCAAAAGGTGTCAAAAATCAAACCAGTGCACACTAGCAGCCTATTTGGGCATATCAAAACAAAACAAAATAAGAAGCTAGGTCTCACTAAGCAAACACAAAATAAAATTATAATAAATTATTGATGGTTCAGAGATAACAGTCAATATCAAG